TGCACCCAGAAATATGTTATTACGAGGAATCAGTTATGCAATTTTCACAGCAGATCTGTTTATTTTCTTATGAAATCTGCTTAATGACCCTTGTTATTGGCACCTGTAACATTTCATTCGCATCATCCATTTATTATTTGTTTTCTTATTCTTACCCTAAGTTGTAACATTTCATTCCTGTTATCTATTTATTATTTGTTTTTCTTACCCTTTAAGTTTCGTACTTTCCTCAGTGATATTTTTCTAAAGGCAAATAGTAGTTCTGTCCCAAAACAAAGCAACAGGAAAAATGATGACAGTGCTGATCATTGTGCTTCTATTGGTGAAAGGAACAGGAGTTCCATGCTGAACAACTGCTACTACAAGAAGAAAACTGGCAAAAAGGATCACAAAGAGGCCTACAGCCTGATGCTCAATCGAGCAAGGTCCTAGCTCTTTGAGAAAGGGGAAAAAAGGAGAGAGGATGGACTGTAATTGCATCTCCGAAGAGATTGCACTTAAATCACGATCCACGATCGACTAAGAGGATGGCTTCAATGGTGATGGGTGAACCACTGAAGGAGCCTCTGATTGGCTGCTCCAGCAGATGTCACTGAGTGAAGGTCTTAGGCCCTTGTTGCAGAACATCTCGTACTCCAACGTGTCGCCTGCCGACTTCTTCACCTCGACGACATAAAAGGCCGGTGTCACCTCGAAGATCTCGGCGTCGATCGCAAGCTTCCCTTTCCTCCCTTCTTTGGACCCCTGCAGCTTCACCAGCCCGTCCTGTTTCTTCACCATGAAGCGCTCTGTCTCAGCAATCTGCTCCAGCTTTGACACTATCGCTGACGCCGGCTTCTGGGTCATGAACCGTGAGTTGCTGGACTTCTGCTCTTGGTCCACCTCGAACAGGCCTGACAGATCAAATCCTCTGGAGTGGGAGATGATGTCGAACGCGTTCAGGCTCGTCGGCTTCAAGGAGCTGCCCGCAGGCTGTTCCACCTTGCCTTCATTGTCGGCGGTGCTGAAGGCAACCTGAACATCCTTGAGGCTGTTGGAGCCGTGCGGCTGTGCCAACATGACAGCCGGCTTGTACCCCTTCTTGAACCACGGGTGCTCGACCAACTTCTCGATGGTGATCCTGGTGTTTGGGTTGGGATCGAGGAGCTTGGACATGAACCGCCGCAGATCAGAGGAGAACCACTGCGGGTACTTGACGTCACCTCTGCTGATCCTGCGGTACATCTCCATGAGATTTGCGTCATGGAACGGGAGGTAGCCGGCGAGAAGGACGAAGAGGATGACGCCGCAGGACCAGATGTCGGCCTTGGCTCCGTCGTAGCCCTTCTTGTTGATGATCTCGGGCGCAACGTACGCAGGGGTGCCGCAGGTGGTGTGCAGCAGCCCGTCCTGCTTCTGGCACTCCCTCAGCGCGCTGAGGCCGAAGTCGGAGACCTTGAGGTTGCCGTGCTCGTCGACGAGGAGGTTCTCCGGCTTGAGGTCCCGGTGGTAGACGCCGCGGCTGTGGCAGAAGTCGACGGCGGCGATCAGCTGGTGGAAGTACCTCCTGGCGACGTCCTCCTTGAGCCGGCCCCGGGCGACGCGGGCGAAGAGCTCGCCGCCCCGGACGTACTCCATGGCGAAGTATATCTTGCTCTTGCTGGCCATCACCTCGTGCAGCTGCACGACGTTGGGGTGGCGGACGAGGCGCATCACGGAGATCTCCCGCTTGATCTGGTCGATCATGCCGACGCGCAGCACCTTCTCCTTGTCAATGACCTTGATGGCCACGCTCTGGCTGGACGCGAGGTTCCGGCAATGGTACACCTTGGCGAAGGTGCCCTGCCCGAGCATGCGCCCGAGCTCGTACCTGTTCATGAGGATGGTCGGCTTCTTCTCCATGCTTGTGGATTTATTGACGACGACAGCAGCAGCGACGACAGCTACAATGGTTCACGAGCGTCTGCTCTGCGCCACTTCGCGCCTCTGACTTCCTCTCTCCCTGGCAGACAGGGAGGAGAGGAAGGAGAGGTGAAGGGCGACAGAGCGGGCGCTGTGATAGGAGGAAACTAACACACACGACTGATGTGAGTGCTCAGGATCCTCCTCCAACGGGGAGGAGAAAAGGAGGCCAGGAATCAATCTCTTGTGGTGGTCAGAGCTTTCCCTGTGACATGAGGCCAGGATTTGCTCTTCCTCTCAGATGGATCGGCTCACTAGTAGCTGACTAATAATAGGCGGCTTGGTGTTTGTGTTGGATGGCTGTGGTTCTGATGCTATTTGTAGGATCTCGATCCCTGCTCGCTACTGGCTGACTGACTGTGACTGCCGAGTGCAGCAGTTAGCAATGTTACGCTGGCCTTTCTACTCAGTTATTGCATGCGTCTTTCTTGATGGAAACCGGGTGATCAGTTATTTGAGATGTCATTGCATTTGCATCTATGATTGGTTTCATCCAGAGGACATGAAATTGGCGAACCGCAACGTGGGCAACTGATTATGGTATGGTGTGTAGTGTAGCAGCAGCTTCCAAGTTACAACATGTCAGATATCTAGAGCTGCTTGTGGCCATCAGCTGGCCATGTCTGATGCTTCTATAAAAAGATGTTAGGTTTTCTTTGAACAACAGTTTGGCGAGTACGCATGTGTATATATGTACGTTCTTGTACAGTTTGGCCATCGTTGATCCAAAGCCTGGTGCCATCTGGACGATCATCATGCAACTGATACCAACCTGTCTTTCTCTGCGTTCCATCGTTTTATTTGTGGTCTTCTGAATTTGTACGTTGCGTGTACACAAAAGGGGTCTTTTTGTGCCTAAGCATGACTGCAACTTTGAAGGGTTCAGTTCCGTCATCTCCTTTTGCAGCATTACCTATCGCATACTACACACCACAAGTCTGAACATTATGTTGTAATCTGGTTTATGAAATTCTTGGAATTTGGTTTTGTATTTTTCCACTTCTTCAGCGAAAGGAATCTGCTAGAATGCATGAGCATGTTTTGGCCCCACGTTAGTTAAACGCTAGGCCCAATGAGGACACCTGGTTGACTGAAGCGCTTTGGTGCCTCGAATGAGACTGAACACCGAACGAATAGTCTCTCATAGCAATGGCTTAGGGAGCTGTTGCTACTTGCTGGAGCCTGATCCCTGATGTGTACATGCATGGTTCTAGGGTCACAGTCACAGGATTACTGCGGCACTCTATCAATCATGCAAAAATAATGTGATATCCAGCAAAAACTTAGATGCCATCTCATAGGCTTGTGTGAGTTAATCAGTTAAGGCTGAGCCAAACCTGCCAAGTTCAGTTCAAGATGATGACTTGGCAATTGGCATGCATGAATATACACGCAAGTTGGACAGATACAATGTTAGCATAACGCAGCTTATATACTCTTCTTAATCACAATGTCCGAGGGCTATCTTACCCCGTGGGTCGAGGTTTTTTTATACTGCAGTATATATCAAACTATTTTAATTCCTCCGGTAACATGGACGGATAAGACAAGAACGTGCCTTCATTTTCAATCGGATGTTAATTTGTATCAAAATTTGCCGTATGGTTTGGAACCACTACTGATCTGCCAATTCCTAGATTTTTTTGGCAAATTGGCTGAGCTTCTGTCATCGTTTTAATAATAGAAAGAAAAGAAATTAAAACATCACTTTCGTTCGCTGGACTAAATTAAACCATGATGATTGTGTAGTTTTTATTATGGATCATGTGCCCCTTCTTTCGTCTAGAAACAAAAGGACATGCATTTTCTTTTTATTTTTGTGAGGAAAAAAATCATGGCTCTGACCGCACCCCGGTTTTTTAATTAAGAGGATGCAGGGCTCGAACCTAGGTCTTTGGACTAAGAGCAAGCTCCAGTAACCAGTCGCGCACGAGAGCACCTGCATCATGGCTCTGATGGTACGTATTGCTAACTCATATCTTTTATTCAAATAGAGGAGTTAATTGGTTGACAGTAAAGCGTCAGTCATCGTGTTAATCTGTTGGCAGTTAAATGTCAAGGTCATGCCAGGTGTTAAATGCATGCATTTTTCTCTAAAAAAATAAATAAATAAATAAATAAATAAAAATTTTAAAGGGGGGGGTTGTGAACATAGCAGCAGTAGTTCATGTTAATCTGACCAGCAGTGAGCGAAATGTGGAAGGTCATGCCAGGTGTTAAATGCATGCATAATTTGTGCATGAATAAATAAATAAATAAATAATTTTTTTTGGGGGGGGGGGGTCCACATAGCAGCATTTTTTTGACAACACACAGACCAGCATTGAGCGACATGTGGAATGTTTCCAAGGCTAACTGATCATTGATGTATCGGGTACGAAGGCTCAGAGCTTTAGATAATTACTTTGAAATGGTGTTACATAGTACGTGATTCACCACTTGATTTCATTCAGCAGCAAAGACAGGCCAGAAAGCATCTAAGAAATGGATGGTGTTATCACAAAAGTACAAAACCTAAATCACGATTCACGAACTGTACCAGTGTTTAAGCATCGAGTCAATTTAAACTCAGTTGGGTGTAAACACCCGCAAATACTCAAAAACTTGAATTCTGTGATAAAATCATTTGTAAGGTACTAATAAGGTGCATGACCAAAGGTTGCAATATTCCACCTCAGTGTACAATACTTAGATCACATTTGTCTCAACATTTCTCTTTATGAATTATCATTACAGTACACTCATAGATTTTTGGAGTGGAGAGAATACGAAAAAGGCTTTAGCACAATAGCAATTAACATGACCAGGTTTCAGTATATTAAAAACTGCATCATTATTTGAGAAAGAAACAATCACCTCTCTTGGAGCAACACCACAACTGACCAATAAGATATTGATCAATAGCCATATATGTTTTCAAACACGTTCAGGATCAGTGGTACATGGGCAATTTTGCTTAAGAACTGTAAGAACTATGCTCATGTGATGCCCGAAACCACACTCTTGTAACTTTTCTCTTGACCTCGATTTCCAGTAAATAAACTCATCAAGTGTAATTGCTAAGGCCTAAGGGGATGGTGGTACAGAGAGGTTGATATCTGTCCTACCACGATCTGGTCATGCCCTCGCTTTGGGTTGCAGCTGAAGGCCGCCTTGAACAAATAATATTGCTATATTCAAATATATTAGGAAACTGTCAGAAATAGTTATGCCGAGTTTAGCAACTATTTGCGATGTTAAAAGTGTATATTGTAATTGTATTGTAGGAAGCTGGTCTGAAACAGTTTAAGTATTCATGATAATAACTCTATCAAATTAGGTTAAAAGTATTTTTAATCATAAAAGAAACATTAAACTAAAGAACCCCTGATTCACTGTGGTTCCATTGACTAGTCAACCGCAAGGTGAAGCAAAACAGCTCCCCACCATCTAGTAGACCTCTAAAATTTGGTATGATTTCCACAAGAAAAAATGTGTGCATCTTCTTTACCAGGAAAACATTTTCCTAGGGTGCAAAAGTAGACAAATAGGGATGCTTGGATTGTGACAACACACCTCCCGTTTAAGAACATCAGGTAGATCATCTGTTGAAACAAGGGTCTGAAATTCAGCTTTCAGCCTCTCATCTATGATGCCCGACCATGTGCCAGGATGCAAAGCCAGCAGCAGAACAGTTAAAACATCTGCACTTGATGGATATTTAATGTTTTCATCTCTCGTGCTTGAATTGTACGAACTCCTGCTGTGATGGGACATTGGTAAAAGCATATCAACACCCTGTTCATTGCCTTCAGATACCACAAAGCCTGAGATAGCAGTCTTAGGCCCATCACCATTCGCTGGAACACATTTGAAACATGTTTCACTGCAGCAGAAACCGTCACTTGATGCAAGGTTCCTTGAAAGCATTGCTGCTCCTTGACAGCACACAGAGGCTGCAATCCTAGTAACAGAATCTTCACTTGATGGTGAACAAGTACATAATTGGATACTAGCACATTGCAGGTCATGGACTATCATAAATAGCCTGGTATCACGCACTTGCTGTAATACATTTTCCTGCAGATGAGCACAAGGCGTGCTATGTAAGGGAGCAAAAGCTTTGATCCAGCAGCAGAAAATGAAATGGAAAAACGACCTTCACTAAAAGCCTTTCTTTCTCCTCTTTGCTTAAGCATTGCCCACCTTCCTCTTTTCTCCTAACTTCAACAACCCATTTGATAAAAGATCCAGCATTAGCTGGAAGAGAACCAATCAAATGGGACACAAGTGTTGGAACATTGTCAAGATTCTCGGTCTTCAAAAGATTAGGTAAATCTTCGACGCAATATTTTGCCATGCTTTTCCAGCTTTCATCTCTGCAACTCTGCAGAAACTGAAAGTAATGAGCAAAACAACAGTACATCAAATGCGTTCACTTGCATTCAACAGAGCGAGCATCAGCATTTTTTACCACTGTGTAAAGCGATGAAGGATCTGCACTGTGCCTTGACACAAGCATGAACCTAACAGATAATAAAAATGCCAATGTTTTTAAATGCAAGGCCTACAAGTGACTGTTATGATCATATGGAAGAAAACTCAATTGCACTGCAACTTTTTAAATGCATACGAAAGAGCATGCACAACAGGTACAGAAGTGTCATTGCCTATGAGCATTACAAATACATAATAAATTACCAGTTGTAACTGAAAAAAAATGCCTGACGTTCCTCCCTCCAATCACCTACCTCAAGTGCCAACAACGAATTACAATAGTTTCTTGGTCAATAGAAAAACACAAAAACACCCACCAAGAAAACGAGGTGTTCTTATAACGTCACATCATGCCTAGCGCTAAAAGGTCTGAAGGACATATGAGGAAGCCCTCAAAACACCAGCAACTTATTTTTCATTTTTTTACCCTATGATATTTGCTTCCACTAAATCCTGATAGTCAGTAAATCGTAGTCCAAAGTTCTAACTAGATTTGCTTAATCCAAGTTGCAACAGATACTAGCCTAGATAACAAGACAGCAATCCCAACTGCATAAATGTCGGTTAAGGATTGTTTTTTTGGATAAAGATCGGTTAAGGAAATGTAAATAATCAATAGCATAGCAGGCGAGTGGAAAACAGAGAAGAGAAGATACCCCCTGAGAAGTCCAGTTGATTCATCCGTCGTGTTCATAGCTTCCCAAAGAAGTGGCAGTGGAACCCAATGAGGAGGGTATTTGAAGCGGGCGACATCCAGGATGAGCGCCATATCCTGTCCAGCGTGGTAGCCACCGATTGGGGAGAAATGCCCGGTTCCGGTCTGCAACAGAGGACATGGCACACATATATAAACGAACAATCCAATCTGAATCCAAAGTATCATAGGAACGAGTCGGTAGGATCTCACCTGTTTGAAATGCCTCCTGTTGTAGGAAGCGATGAGATGGCAATCCGTCGAGGAGGCGCAGCGGACGAGGTGGCGGCGGAGGTCATCGACGGTGACCTGGTGGGCGCGGAAGGGCTGGACCTTAGCGCCGGCGCAGTGCGCGAGGCAGGCGACCTTGCCGAAGGTGATGCCGTTGGCCTTGACCGCGTCGAGGGGCTCGCAGCAGTCGAGCATGGACTCGTCGAACCACCGCCAGGGCGCCGCCCCCGCCGGGCCCGGGTCGATGGCGAGGGTTGAGGACGACGGCGAGGGAGGCGAGGCCGCAGAAGGCCGGCTCCGACTGCGTCTGGAAGCAGGAGGCGAGGCCGAAGAAGCCCTCCATGGTGCCGCCCTCCAGTGCCTCCGAGAAGAGTCGCTTGCCGTCCGCCGAGGTGAAGTCCACCGCCGGAGGCGACGGGAGTGCCCGCCGGTACGGCGCCGCCGCCGCCATTCGCCTCCCCGGCTCCCCCTGGCTGCTGGCTGGCTGGATGATCGATCGCTCTGGTCTCTCCGTCGATGCTGCTCTGATTTGTTCTCGTCCCTGCACACACACAGCACACAGCAGCAGCAGCAGAAGCAGCGGATGCGAATTTAAATTCGTATTCGGAATTTCCAAAAGACAATTCGTATTCGGTGGCCCTACTCGCTTTTCTTCATTTCGATATCGGATTGGAAGATTCTCGAATCGCGCTTTTTTTCTCCCGTTTTTCACCGGCAAGGTAAACTTGCATCTCTCACCCTAAATAAACGCTTTTGAAACAGCTAGCACCACGTTTGAAGTTGAAGCCTCGGCGGCAACGGCACCGGGGACCCGCTCTGAGTATCCGGCAGTGCTCAGGCTCCTATCAAATCAAACTATATCGAATTTGCAAACATCTTTTTCGTAGGAAAATCTGATGGACACATACCTTCGTTTCTAAATATTTGTGTCATTTTTTACCACTTTATTATTCGTTTCAAAAATACTAATTGCCACTGTGCCCGGTTGGCGCTACACAAAGCAGCCGTGTGCGGTGTGCCCATGTCCACTGCGGCCGCGGCCCGCGGAAGTGAATGAAATGGCACACTAACGGGCTAGCGGCGGCACTTGTTCCTCTCTCCGTGGACCGTGGACCGTGGCGGCCCGGTTTCTTCTCCCGTGGGCCAACTCGGAGACGTGACCTTCCTCGCAAAAAAAAATGTACGACCAAGTACGTGTTCTGTTGGGACTCGTTAACCAGGCGAGAGAGCCTGTGTTTGCTAATGATTGGATACGGGTGACCATCCCGTTCGGACACGCCTCCCTGGGCCTGTGGAGCTGCGCGGCCCGTTCCCCCTCATGGCTCTGCGCGGCCCGTTCCCTCCATGACCGGCAGCGGCCTGTTGAGAACGCATTTCTCTTCCTCCTAGCCGACCCCGCTCCTCTCCATCGCGTGCACCTGCTCCTCTCCATCGTGTGCGTCACTCGCTCCCTCCATGACCGGCAGCGGCCTGTTGAGAACGCATTTCTCTTCCTCCTAGCCGACCCCGCTCCTCTCCATCGCGTGCGCCCACTCCTCTCCATCGTGTGCGTCGCTCGCTCCCTCCATGACCGGCAGCGGCCCGCTCCTCTCCATCGCGTGCGCCGCCGGCTCCCTCCCTGGGCGACGGTGGCGCCCTCTTCCACCGCGGCATCCTCCTCCCCCACCCCGGCGGTGCCTTCTCCCACACGACGGCCCCTTCACGCACTCCATGACCTCCTCCCCTACCCCGGCGGCTCCCTCCCCCACCCTGGCGTTCTCCTCCCCCACCTCGGCTGCGTCCCTCTCCTGACACTGACGTCCTCCCCCACAAGGAGCTCCTAACGCCCCCAGATCCGGCGGCCATGGTGCTCCCCGCGCCAGGCTCTCCCCCCCTGTGTTGCAATTGTATGTTTCAATTATTTCAGACGTTTCAGAGGTATGTTGCAGCTCAATCATATGGATGTTGCAAAAGTAGATCGGGGATGTTTCATATGTTGCAAGTGTTTCAAAGGCATGTTGCAAGCATTTGTTCAAAATGTTTCACCTCTTTCTACATGTATGTTGCAATCGTTCTGATTTGGATGTTTCTATGCTTCACATAAATGTTGCAATAATATATTCTAAATGTTTCCAGTTGCTTCAGTCTTATGTTGCAGCAGTTGTTAAATGTTGTTGCAAGTGTTGTATTCAAACGTTTTATGTTGTTCGGCCGGGGGGCAAGCCGGCGGACGGGGGCGTGTGGCTCGTCGGGGGCCTAGCGGACGGAGGTGCTAGGGGCCGGCGGACGGGGGTGTTGCGTTCAGGGGGCGCTAGGGCGTGCTCGTCGCGTGTGTGGGGGCAGTGTGAAGGAGGACGCGGCAGGCGGTGGGGCTAGCTGGGGGCGCACGGCTTGCCGAAGGGTTAGCAGACTAGGCTGAGGGCGTGCGTGAAAGCGGATGCAGGGGGTTGAGCACTTGAACGGACGTCCGGACGCGCGTGGTGCGCCGGACGTCCGGGTGCTAGATTAGCTGTTCTATATATAATACGTATGTAGCCGAAGTAAGATAGGCTTATTTTTGGGCTCAAACTATGAGATGGAAAGACAAGCAACCCTATATATATACAGAGGTATCAACCGATTGATGTGATTTATAATGGCCAGATCAATCTACTTTGTATCTACTATTTTCTTTGCCCTATTTTACTTCTTGTCAGCTGCCGTCTACTTCATTGCAACGGGAACCACAAGGTCCTAGAGACGATCAGACCGACCTAGGATAGCCCCATCGTCATTGCTCGCCCTGAATGGGTCCCTTCTAGGTGAGGTGAAAGTTAGATTCAATAGACATCGTCAATGTGTCACGCGCGCTACCGATGAGGTTTCTCCTATGACATACCTTACACACCACGCTCGTTAGGGGAACACGTGACTTGTTCGTGTGTAGGCAATCACACATTTAGATTTCACATTGTTTTGCGTAAGTATGTTTTGTATGCTGTTCCAGTTGTATTCTTACCTCTAGACAGGGGCAGGGTTTGGAGTGTGGGTCTTAAAAAATTGCAAATGATAAAGGAGATTATTCTTATTTTACAGCTTAGATTCTATCTTTTTATGTACATTTGATTATATATAGGAATCATATACTACTAATTGTATAACGAATAGAAGGTATAACACAAAAATAAACATTATATCTTTGACTCATAGCTTTGATCATAAGTTGAAAGTGTTCGACATATAGAAATATTAATTATTTAACAAAAATAATGGCAATTCAATTGAATGCCCTTTAACTCTAAGAAGGCCCACCTCTGGCTCTATTCTATCTATCGAATTCATGGCCCTAAGCTAGAGTGGTTGGATAATCTAATACAGTTATTGCAAAAAAATGTTCTCTTATGTTTTTGCTTCTTTTCAACATCAAAATACTTCTGTAATTAAGCTATTCATATTGCAATGTGTTTAGGATAATTATGTCATTGTGTGTTATAGTCCTTGGTGTCGAAGTATAAGATATTGTCCTCTCTCACTTATCAACTTAAGCTTTTGGGTATAATCGATGCATGCAAAGCAATTTTAGGTTAATAGCTACCTGTTCCATTTTTTTCTTCAAAACATTTTTGTTAGGTTCTATTGAAGTCAGCAATGTGAATGATTTGTGCCTTGTAAACCTCATCAACCAGTGTTACGTGTGGCTAGTATATATACACCTAAAGGCACAACAAGTCTCATAATTTACACAAACACGAAAAGGTTACTCTTTGAAAAACATGTCCCTAGGTATACTTGACATTGCAAGATTTATGATGCCTCCAATTGGAGATCCTGGCGCTTAGCTACACAGAGTTGCTATGAGATAGGATATACGTCTTGCATCTTGGGGGTGTTGTCTTTATGGGAGCAGCTATTCTTCAATCTATACTATAAAAGGACGAAGGAATTGAAAAATACCTTTTATCTGAAAATTCCTACCCACCCTATATTTTAACTCTTAGATGTGATTTGAGATCTTGATCAAAGAGATAATAAACGTCATTACCTCCTAACAAGTGGGCCACGTCTTACAAAACATAAGATTTTTGCGTTCCTGCCATACAATTCCATCGCCGGCGTTTTTTTTTCCACTGAGACAATTTTATACCCGCACGCACCCACTCCCGAACGATCACGACGTCTTTCACTGAGACAAAATTCTACACGAGACTAAATTCTACCCACCTGCGCCTCCTGTTCTGCCTGTCTGTACACACGCACGGCATCACGTTTGTCGGTTTCCCACGGCACAGAGTCACGCATGCGAGATCAGAAAGTTCGTCGGGTTCCCGCGGCACCTCGATCACGGCGTCACGTTCGTCGGTTTCCCGCGGCACGGAGTCACGCACGCGAGATCAGAAATTCCACCGCATCCTTCCGGGCCTCGGCATACAGCACGCGCCGTGAACGCATGTCCAGCAGCAGCTTCATCTGCGGGTCTCCAGCGGCCGGCACCGCTTTCATGTCTGTAGCTGCTGACTTGCCGTCGTGGACACCTACAGCTCTCTGCCTGACGCATCAGAAGCCAGAAAGTTTGATTAATGCAGGTATACAATTTTTTATTTTTGTGTTGATATGATCTAATAAAGATTGATTAAGTTCTATTAAATATTGATTAATATAATCTGTGTTGCGTGCTTATTAAAATTATTTTGAACTCTTTCAACTACATGTTTCTAAAAAGTAATAATCTACTATTTTCCGACTTGCAAATTGCAAATTATTCTGAACTCTCTTTCAACTACATGTTTCTAAAAAGTAATCTACTCTTTTCCGACTTGCAAGTTGCAACTAAACCTAAATTGCTTAAATGCATTTATCTTTAATTTTTTGTTTCACCATTGCTTTAAAATTCCTTGTTTGCAGTGCTCCATATTAATATAAACAAGACAACCTAAACCTTGTTATGGCTTACCACAAGACAAGATGGTAATCTGACCACAAGACAAGATGGCAATGTTCAAGGTGATATGTTATTTGTTTTTTAAAAATCAGTCTATGTGGATTTTTTATTTCAAAATCAAATAACATTTTCGTATATTTGTTAGAGGATGAAGTCGGCTTGGAGAATAGAAATTAAATAGGATGTAAAAGAAAACGTGAAACACAAGCTACTGATGTAATGACTTGTGATAAAGATGTTGAAAGACGGGCTAGAAGCTGAGAATATCAGCGTAACTATCGTGCATGGTTACGGGCTAAGGCTGTTGGTAACCAAAAAGAACACCCTGATCCTAGCATGATAATAGCGAAGCAACCAGGTTTGATTTAAACTTATGTTAATTATGCTACTACAATACTATTACATGTTATAAATGTGTAATAGAATTAATTGCAATGTGAAACGGAACATACTGGTATGCAGTCTAATGATAAAGAGGCAGAAAGACAGGCCGGAAATCGGAAATATCAACGTAACTATCGTGCAAAGTTAAAGGCTAAGGCCAGTGCTAATGAAGAACATCATCCTAATCCAAACACGATGATAGCAAACAACACAGCTTTGATTACAAATTTGAAATATTACTACAGTACTATTACATGTTATATATTTCAGGCAAAACACACTGAAATGTGAAACAGAACATACTGGTGCGCAGTGTAATGATAAAGACGCAGACACAGAAAGACGGGCTAAAATTCAGAAATATCACCGTAACTATCGTGCAAAGTTAAGGTCTAAGGTCGATGTTAACGAACAACATCATCCTAATCCAAGCATGTTGATTACAAACAACACAGGTTTGATTATAGATTTGGTTACTGCAAGATTATTATTAAACTCATTGGTCTAATGTTAATAAAGTATTCAGCTATTTATAATAATATATTATTGTGTTTAGGTACGATTGAAATTGTGAAACAAGAGAATCTTGCATACAGCAACCAAAAACCTAGTTGTGCCACTCGGTTAGCCTCTCGCACAGTTTTTCTCTGACTTGTTAAACCAGAATGTTTATCTGGTTAAGCCAACAAAACGAAAAAAAACTTATAAAGAATAACACAGGGACAAATTGGAAATAATGTCGTGAAGCCACAAAGAATCAAGGTAGGGAGTTTTAGATTTCAAATGAACAAACAATATGCAAGAGACAGAATGCACACCTTTCCAAATGTACCATGGTCACATAATTCCACCATGAGCAAATCATGCGGTGCATCTTGTACAATGAATCAAATGCCTGCTTCCATATTGGATTTAGCGTGCCTGTCACAACCTGCAGTAATACTGAATTATGAGAGCCTTGAAAAAAAATATGGACGTACATAACTCTGAGATTGGGAAAGATAATAACTCTTGTCTTCTTTTTGGTTTCTCACCTCTTTAAGTACGGGACCACAAATGGGTCAGCCTTGCCACCAATGTACATAGGTGGCAAGTACTCTGTAGAGATGACTGTTACAGAAAGGACTCCTCAAATAATAACATTTTTCCTCTGATTAACATCATATCCATTAGACTCGGTTTTGAGAACCTTCTCCAACGAAGTTAGTTGAATCTAATTACCAAAAGGATTAGAAAACCCTACATGCTTAGCATAAGGGTAG